TGAGGTACACACTGCCAGAAGCCTTTTATAATTCTGTGCCAAAAATTTTGTAATATATAAATTACTTGGTAGGTTTTTTCCTGTGAAGGAGTTGCTTTTGGTTTAGTGGCTGAATTTACGTCAATGGAAGAAAAAAAGAGAATGAAAATATTAGCCAGATGAAGGAATTTCATCTGTGCTACCATACCCTGTAATTGTTTTCCTTTGAAAGAAAAGACTCTGAAATCTAAGAGTCACCTTTTGGCAAAATACTCTAGGATATTTTTAACAGCTATGCCTTAAAATAATTTCTTTTCCATGGGCAAAGAAAAAGATCTGTTTTGAGCCTCTGAACACATCACTGGAAGAACTCAATTTCCTCTTTGTGTGCTGAGGACACCTGCCTCCAATCATGACAAGAAGAAAAGCGTGGTCATAAAGAGGTGGGCAGCTATTAAATTAGGTAGCAATTAGTTCCCTGGTTCAGGAACCGAGAAAGCCAGGAATACATCAACTATGAGCAGATTTACATATCAGCCCTTCTTACCTCCCTAAATATCTGCTGCCACAGGCTGCTGGGGCTGTGTCCCTGCCAGCTTCATTGTCCTCTGTAAATCACACTGTCCCCTGCATAGATGCCACTTGATCAAACAGCCTCATCACACCATATAATGTACTGTATTCACTTTGGGGAACACTGTGTGAATACTGATTGGCAAAATTTGGCCCATATTCTTATTCTTACTAATTGCAATTTACTTCATAAAGTATCATAATCAGACCCACTAATTTTGCTTTCCCAGCACAGCAATTTTTCTGGTTCTCTCTTCAATACTCTCACACACTTATGCCCAACTTAGCTGCTGATCTCCAATATTCAAGGTAATGATCAGGTAATAAACTCTTAAATTAACTAGGAACTGTGAATGAGTGTCAGCTGACTGTTTTTTTCCTCTGAAATGCAGTCTTTATTTGTGTATCATGTATTTTCCACAACTACTCTTGCAATGCAGTCATCTTTTAAATCCTGATTTTAATTTTTTTCTAGGCATCTCTTTAAGCATCTCTCAGAGACAACAGAGGACTGGCATCTGTGATGACTCTTGCTGCGTCACTTTTCTTTGCTGCTGCCAACTCAGCGTGTCTCACTATGCACTTTATTGCTGGCTATTAATTTTTAAGCTAGCTTTATGTTCCTTATTAACAGCTCATTTCTCAAAAGAGAAAAATGATGTTGTTGCAGTTACAAGTTTTATAGAAATACAACATGAACATCTGAAAAGAGGGCAGAGGCTTGTTTCTGAGGGATTATATTTCCATCTCAAATTCCTTTCCCTCTTCTCTATACTGTTTGTAACACGTAATTTCAGTTTATAAAAAATAAATAAACCCACCAACCAGTGTACTACCATGCATTATTCCTGAGGATGACAGGGGCTATTGGTCTGCATAATTTTCATACTGTCAAACTTCCTTTCTGCCTCCAAAAGGCAGGCCAATGTAGGTCACTTTTAATGAGGAGCCCTGTGTGTGGCTTTCCCCACACACTGCACAGCAATTGGACACTTGCAAGTCCACGTTCTCCCTGCATCATCACCATATTCTGTCTTTTGTCAACAGGGCTGACTTCTGTCCACAACACTGGGCACTTTCACACCGTGAACTCTCTTGCCTCCTTAACTCTGAATCAGTTTGTGCCCTTGCATTCTAGTGTATCATTTCTTCCAGCATTCATTATGCTGCCGTTAGCCTCTGGCTAGAAACTTCTTAAAACATGATGAAATTACTTGCTCGACAACATACAAGTTAATTGTAGCGTAATTGAAAGATATACTAATCTATTCCCTTGTTTGGTCATGGCATCTTGGTTAAGATCATCCAGCATATTCTCATATGGTATCTGTGAAATCTTTTGCTATAAATTGTAAGCTCTGTCCACAGCACCTGTTTCTCTGTGAAAGACACAGGAATTAGAAGAGCTGTTGTCTCTAGCTTTGCAAACAAGAAAAATTTAAGTGGTACAAGCTGTTTTTGATCTAGGGTCTCCTCTCTGCAGTGCTTCATTCCCCAGGTATTTTAAAGGGTTTGTTTTTGGGATGGGAGAATATGAAAGAAACCTGGCACCTGCAGGCGTGTGCTCTCTCCTGGCTGGCCTGCATATTGGACTTCTGAATACTCCTCTGCAAGGGAAGAGTTAAGCTCCCTGGACTTCACTCTGCTTCCATTCTTTCCCCTACTCTCTTTCTATTCCATTTTTCTCACCACCTCCATGTGCAGCATCCAGACTCTCCTATCCTTCCCCAAGGGGTAAGGCAAAGGCAGTGCTGTGCTGAATGGGGCACTCCTCTGCCAGCCAGGCTCACAAACTGACTTACCAATATTTGCACCTTTAAACACATGGGCTCAGCAGGTGCCTTAATCCCCACCTTGAGCCCATTGCTAAATCCTTGTGCTCCCCTCTGCCCTGCACCCCAGGTATGTGGGGCCGAGGGACAAGGAGGAGATAGGGACAGGCTGTGCCTGCTGGGAGAAGAGAGAATGGGACTGAAGGACAGGGCTCTGGACCTTTGAGGACAGCAGCAGCTGCCTGAGGAAGCTGCTCCTGCGAGGATCAGAGCCCATCAGGTCAGTGCTGCATCAGGAGGAAAGGACTCATCAGGGTGACACTGCACAGCCTGCCCCGTGCTCTGCTCACGGGCTCCAGCAGCTCCAGCTCCTCCACACACTGGCAGTTCAACACTGCCCAGCCTGACATGTGCAGTGCTACAAGTAAAATCAAGCTTATGCAACCAGGTGATGACCAATACACAAGGGAAGGACCCTGTATTCTTGATCACTTCAAAGTATTTTTATCATTAGTATGTAATGTCAACATAAGGTAAAAAAAAAGAACCCCCAAATTAATCCAACATCTTCATACAAGTTGGATTGAATTGAAATTTCTCTACAAGCCAATGTGAATAATATATGTTTGTCTAAATTAAACTGTTAGAGCAGCCCCTCTGCAGAGCAGACAAGGATGGAGAATTGTAAGAGATACTCATCCTTCATCCTTGCCTTCCTTTTAGGGCCAAGTCCCTTAATTTACTTGAGCTTCAGCTTTTTTGTCCTTAAAGCAGACATAACTTATGCCCACAGTGATGCTGTCACATTAATCCATCTGGTATTTGCCAACACACGGAAGACTTTATTCTAATGAGATGTACAGAAAGCAGGACACCATCATCTGAAGCTGTCTATATTCTTCCCTACAGTTCTACCCAGTTTCATTTCTGCCTGGGAAAGTAGGTCAAAACACTAAACTATAGTTGTTTGAAGGGGAAAATGCAACTTTTAACTTCTTTTGGCGTAAACACCAGGTTTTTTTCCCAATTAGCACTCAGAATGGTCAGGCAGGGTCACGGGACTCTCCAGAGGTGAGCATGAAGGTAGCATCTATTCTTGACCTGTTCCTTAATCAGCAAAGATTCAACACAAGAGGAATAATTTATGTGGCCAGCAATTGATTCTTGCTCAGGAAGCCCCAGGGGAGAATCGTAATCATGGCAAGCTCACCTTCTCCTGGGACATGTTAAAACGTGGGGGATGGAGGGTAATGTTCCTTCTGAGCAAAGCAAAGCTTGGGTGCCCAGCTTGTTCTCCACACACACTTTACAGTTCTGGGCAGGACCTCTGGCTGTGGCCATACGCTGCCCCTGCAGCTTCCCTCACTACATACAGTAATTACTTTGTTTTCATTAATTGGTCTTAATGCATGCATGCACAGCCACAGATCAAGCGAGCCTCTGCTGTGAGTGCAGCAGTTTTGGCTGGGAAGTCGCACTTGCCCGGGTTTGTAAGGCCAGCAGCCCACCAGCAGCAGCCTCAGCACAAGCATCCTTCGGGTGTCAGCAAATCTGGGGGGCTCAGTGTCCCCCAGCAGGTCCCAGGGGCTGCAAACTGCAGATTCCCGGGGATGGACGCACCAGCACAAACTGCATCCTGGTGGGGACACATTAATGCTGTCCTGGTGTCAATGAAACATTACCATCAATTAAAGCAGGCTGTATGGCTGATTTATAAGCCAATATATAACCAAATATAGCACAGGAGATGTTTGGAAAAACAAGTATGTGAAATAGGCATGACAAATAGAAAAGCTTTATTAAGGGGTGATTTCTGTGATCTTTATCTCCCAGAACAGTGATATTTTAACATCCTTATCCAAACAGGAACACAGATAAACAGGCTGTAAACTCATCCTGTTACCCTGAGGTTTGTGCTCTGGCAGAAATGACCGATGATTTTTGTACATGGGCAAAATGTTTTTATTTATACCTCTGACTGGGGTCTGCTAGGGGAAAGTTGTCACCCATCAAGTGACTTTGGAGGGACTAATGAGAGGGATAAATGTAGTTTGTAATAAAAACAGTTGTCTGAGCAACCTATTCAGACTGACTGATTTGGATTCTTACAGCAAATACTTAAGCACATGCTGATAATGCAAAACAAATTAACAAAAAAGGTTGGGGGAAGAGCCTTCATGCCTAACTTGTCACCTAAGGCTGATGAACTCCAGTGCAAAAGCTGAAGAAAATTAAGCGCTAAACTGTAAATACTTCAGCCAGGCAAAAGTGAAAATACAGCTGGCATTTACATTAAAAGCTATAGTCTGCATGTATCTGTCTCCTCATTCCTTTTAAAAAGAACATTTTTATCACCAAAAAGGCCTCAGCCTTATCTACCCCAATATAGGTGGCTATTTGAGATACCGTGCTACTGACTCAATTTGGACACTTAAAAGTTCTTGGCTCACTTATCATGAAGTCAAATTCATCAAAGATAAATTCAAATAAGCTGGGCAAAATCACTTTTAGGGTGCCCTGTGTTTTTCCAGTTATCACTACAAGTCTCCATAGTGGATAATATAAAAAATAGAGTATTTACAGTATATTCAATGCAGCCCCTGTGTGTGTTCAGCCAGGGCTGCCAGTCCCACACCTCTCCACACAGAAACACGCTGGGTACCTCCAGCCTCCTACCTTGGCTCCATCCACACTGATAATCCGATAGCTGTTTCTCGTGCTGTCATAGAAGTAGGAAACAGTTACAGCCTGCTTGCTTGCAGGGACCCAGTTCTTCTTCGTGCTGGGGTCAATTTGGAAGACATGGGCTCTGGTGGTGAAGATGGGCTGTTCTCTGGAATAGGGAGGGACAGGAGAGATGGATGCATGAGTCTGCGGAAGGTGAAATGTCCCAGCAGCCCAGCTTGACCAGGCACATTGAAAGCACAGGGCAGAGAGCACCTGGCAATCCCCCAAACGAAAAGGCAGAGCAGTGACACTGCCGAGCCACACTCCAGCCTTGAGTACCTTTCCTTAGCATCACCAAGTGACACTCAGCATCCTGAAGTTGCTGCCATAGCCCAAGAAACAGCTGGCTTTTTTCTCCCCATGTTAAACTACCTCAGTACCCATCTATTCCTCAATATATTTATTTCCAGGAAAGGACATTCACATGCATTCCTTCTTTCTTTCCCCATCCACATATTTTCCCAGAATCAACAAACCCCCACAGCTGGATTTCCTCCTGCCGACATCCCCGTGAACTGCTACCTCCAGCCAGGGCTCCTCTGTGGGAGCACCAAGGACTCCAGTGACATACAGGCATGCCATAATTACTGAAATATTAATCTCTCTCCTCAGAATCCCACTGTTCTGTGGATGTGCATGAAAATTTCATTAGATGCAAACCATTCAATCACCCTGGGAAGTGAAGGGGGGGAAAAGAAACAGAACCAAACTCCAGTGTTGATACAGATATTGCCTTTTCAGCTCTCAGTGGGTGATGCAGCACCCCTGAAATCCCTTTCCTAAACACCAGCCTTCCTCAGATGCTTTTTCTCCTCAGGAAGACTGCACACAATGGAGGGGTTTTGTTTTACCTCCAATGTGTGACCAAGCAAATCACACAGAAATGTAGAGAATATGCAGGACCAAAAGAACCAACTGTGATACATACAAACTCATCTAGGTTAAAAATCAGAATGAAGCCTTTCTTTAATGCCATGAAACTGCATTCACCACCAACCACACCTTTAATCCAAGTTTAGCAGTAGAAGGGAACTGCAAAGCAAGCTCTACTGAGTTATGTGCATTTTCATGCTTTTGATTTTTAAAAGCTACACTATATAATGTTTTATATTAAGTGTACCACTCAAGATATTCTTGTCCCATACAAAACATTACATCATGAACAGGTAATTGACAGAATTATGACAGGATCCAAAACCAGCAGTACTACAATTGAGCTACCACCCAGAAATTGAAATTAAAATCAAGGGGAGTAAATTTGCAAATATCAAACAGATGAAGTGATTAAAGAGTACAATTAACTCAGGAAAGATGCAGTGAACTTGCAAAGCCCTGCAAGGCCTCAGGAGAGAGAAAATGAAAGAGTGGTTTTCTCCTTGCAAGACTTACACTTCTACACTTTTCCAGGGGCTTGCAGGTTTCTGGACAGACAGCTGTGCTGAACCATGTAAAATACTTACTCAAAATAAATTGAAATGACAATGGGACTGTCATATTACAGCTGTCAAAGAGTAGCATTTGCTTCAGTTCTCCCTTATCAGTAACTTGCTGAACCCAGCTCTCATTTCATGCCAATATCGATGCCATCCTCAGCTGGGTGGAAAGAAGGGCCAGGCATCCTTAACATTTTAAATACTTTCCTCATCCATTACACAGGATTAACATTGTATCACCTACAGAGGTCATGGAGTTTGTCTGCAATAACAAATTCAGGGAGGGGAAGTTTCCGCCAAGCTGTGTACTCTTTTAAGAAATGTACATTCCCTGAATGAAAAATAATATTGAATTTTTTTTTGCCTTTAACCTAGTTGTATATTTTCACTTGACTCTACTAAAAACAGGTAATATGACCTAAATATTGCAATCTAAATGTTAGGAATTTTCCTCCATGCAAATCTATTCCACAAACAACTTTAATTCTGTTACATTATCTTAACTACACCAGAAAATGCTGTTAAAACCATGCCTGGCTGCTGTGCAGCAGGGGCAGTAAGCATATAAAGTAAACCTGGAGATAATAATGGTAGAATGAAGGCAAAGGCCCACAACTATCCATCTCCATTTGTTCAGGAATCTTGAAGCTGCTACTGTTGAAACAGGAGGTGTACACATACATCCAAGTAGATAAATCAATGGATAGTGAAGCTCTGGGCTGCAAATATCCATCTATCCATTCATTCTTTTATTCAGAAGTAAAGGCAAAATCTCTGTTTCTAATCCTATGATTATCAACAACAAAGAAATCCACCTGAATTTTGTCTTTCTGTGTCACAGTGACAGCATGCTAGTTGATAAATTATTAAAAATAAGAAAATGCAATGTGTAAACTTAAACATCAATGTGAAATGAAATGAAATCATTTGAGGCAGCTGATCTGTTGACCTTTAGCTGGGACTCAGATTTGGAAGGGCCAGTTGGATGCTCCATGTGCCTCTGCCCTTCCTGCCAGAGGTGGCTCTGCAGGTCAGCAAAGCCCCCAGACTGATTTCTGACTTCCTGAAGGAGAGGAAGCACCCCCAGAACACAACCTCCTGGATTTGCTGGCCAATAATAACAATTCAGAACAGAAGATGCATTTCTGTGTCTGTGTGTGCCCTGCTGCAGTTCTGTGCTCAGCTCTTGCCCCAGAGAGCCCAGGATTCAGCACCAGCGCTGGGAGCTGGTGCCAGCGCTTTCCCACAGGACGGCAAAGCCAACTGCCCTGACGAGCTCCAGAGCTTTAGCACTGGGAATGTGCACTGCATCCCCAACTCCTCTGACCACCCAAGCACACACTGGCAACTGTGAGAAACTGGCACTCAATTTTCAAGTGAAACACTAAATTAGGTACTTTTAAAACCCTTCACCATGACACTACAAACTGAGAACGATTATTCTGTCTTACTCACTTGTAACTTTTCTAGGTTCAAGAAAGCACTTTACTGGTAGAAAAATGACTTCATTTCCCAGGGTTCCTTTCCTTTTCATTTTATCAGAGATTTATGATTTATCAGCTTTTATGATGAAACAACAGCAATGCTAAGTTGAAACTCTGGCAGCACTTTCTGCATGGTTTGAGCCCTGTGAGCTGGTTGTTCCGTGAGGCTGCCAGTTTGCCCGGGGAGGCTGGAGCAGCAGCACTGCCAGCCAGGCTTGGACCCACACATGAAGGCAAAGAGAATTTATGAATATTTAAAATCTCATTAATTTTAACCAAAGTCCTAAATGATTGATTAAATACTCTTTTCAAAACTCCGACTGTTTAAAAATCAATTTGACAGTAACATCCACGGCTCGGAATAAAGCTGCTTGAAAAGTCGAACATGAAAAGTAGAAAATCACACCTAATCATTCTTTATTGGTAATACAATTTAAGACAGAAAATGCTTTTTACTATTAAATATGGCAAGCATGTTTTATAAATATAATTGCCATTTTCCAGTCATGGTTTTACACATTGCAGTCGACATTTAATTTCTGTCCTTGCTTCATATAAGTGAAATCTCAAGTAAAAAAACAACCACTCTCCTTTAATGTCATTAACCTTTTCTGAAGAATTTAAAAAGCAAACCATGAGATTCTAGAGCTAACTAAGTGCTCCACAGCTGTGTGAGAGACAGTATCACTTTCTGGTTAAGATACAACCATGCCAAATTTTACAAGTGTGTGACTAGCTGCAAGCCATGTGTTTTGTATTACTCTTCCTAATCAACGGGAATGAGCTCTCACTTAGGAAAAGTTCAAATTATTTAATTCAAATTTCCTTGTTTATCACTTGAATCATGAGCACAACCAGTGATTTAAATCACTTCAGCTGCAAAGAGTCCTTGCTGAGTGGCAGCCAGCATCCTCCGGGCTGCGGGATGCTGGTGGCCGATGGAGCTGTGACACGGCGAGCTCCGGCTGGGGAGCACCGGGACAGCCACGGATCCAGGATTCACCTGTGGGGCCATGTGGAGCCAGCTCCCAACCAGGCACTGGTGAGTGAACACTTCTGTACTGCAGCAATCCTTTTTGCTAGTAAATAAAACATGGTGACCCACAGGGTGCCTGTGTACCAGTGCACATCAGGTGGATGCACTGACCATGAAGTCACAGGGACAAAATAATTTTTGTAGGATCTGGAACATCAAGTATATTTGTGACAGGAGATCTGGTACTCCACTGGAGGCAAAACAACTAATTACACATTTTTTAAAAACTTTCACTAGCAGATCACTTAAAATTCCTGGGATAAGGATTCCTAGTTTACAGCACAGGATTATTTGTGCTCTCCCCACCCTGACTGTAGAAAACTTTGCATTAACTGTCTAATTTACCAATTGAAGTAAAAATATTTTTAAAAGCACATGTCTTCATATATCTGCCATTTGGTGGAGGATGCACATGCCTGCAGACATCAGCACAGAGATTTTGGAACGTGGTGCCTCTTGCTATAGCCCAGCATCATGCACACATTGAGTTTATAATACCTGACAGTGCCAGCAGATCTGCAGTGATTTGCTCTAACAAGTATTAGATAATGAGGATCTCTCAAGAAAGAAGAGTAGATGCAAATGCAAAATCCTGCTTTGTGACATATCCCCCATCACTGGTCACGATACGAAAAACTCTATTTGTTAAACACAACATGATAAAATTGCTGTCAACAGTTATTTGGATTGAACATTGCTACTGCTGCCTGTGCAGTAAATGAAATGTGCAATGAAAAGAATTAATCCTCTATGTACATAAAAAGTAGTTTGGTGTGTCATCGGTATTTATTTAGATCATGGATGGAGATTTTTCTCCTATTTGAAATACTCATCTTGATGAAAGTCCAGGCAAGTTATGATGCCTAAAAAATACCTGCAAAAATAGTTTACCTACTTGTTACTCTACTCACTTGTATATATATGCACATTTCAAACTTTGAAAAACCATCAACTCCCCTCCCTAAAACACCAAAATTGAAGTAAAGGTAGGCCTGTGATGAAGACACAATTGCTGTGGGGTGAAGTTGCAGTTCACAGTGTCACACACAGCAATTAGCACAGTGGTTGCAGTTTATATGCAATATTAGTCTTTGCTCCAAGCAAAAATTAGAGTTCATTATCTTCCAACCTGTTACCTCTATGCATTCAACACTTGTGCCATCTTGGATCAAATCTTTTCAGAAAAAGAGAGAGCCACACAAACTAGTTTCCTGATGATGACTGAGGATGAAGTTAGAGGACCCCTTCTGACCTCACTGCACACACTCCAGTCAAGTTCATCCCCCTGTGCTACAAACCCAGCAGATTCAGCTGTCCCAGCCCAGTGCCTGAGATAGTGTCACCTCAACACCCATCGCTGCCCAGCTCATGGCTGGGGTCACAGCACAGGCAATACTCAGAGCTGGGGAGAGGCAGACACGAAATCCGTGCATTTTTGGATGTGGTAGCAGCAAACTGGCATTACAAGAGCAAGCAGTTTATTCCCTTCCCAAATTGCCATATGCTAATTCATCCAGGTCACTCAGATCCCATCAGCTGCCACAGGCAGGTTCTGGTGCTGGCTGCCAATGCACACAACCAGTGGAGCAAATGAGAGCCTGTTTCAACTTGCAAGGGTGCAAAACTCAGCATGAGGAGAGCAGGTGGGTAATAGCTCCATTTTACACCTGAGGAAACAGCCATGGAGAGCGAGATGGCATCCCAGGATAACAGAGCCACTAGCAAGCCTGGAAATAAAATTCATCACCTCATTTCCTCTCTGCAGCTCTGCCATCGCTCTCATTGCAGGGCAGTTTTATACCACATCTACCCAGGGAAGTTTTTGACTATGTGAATTTAAAAGGCTAAATCAACAGCTGAATATTCACCACTCAACAAAAAAGAATTAATAGTCTGTACAGAGCAGAGAGAAGCTCTCAGTGCATTTGACAGCTGCTCCTCCACACTGTGGAGGAAGGTGGGATGGGGTGCCTGCAGCTCCCATTGGTCCTGCACTGCAAACAACCCTTCCTCCTCACACTTGTTTCCACAGCAAAAATCACTTGTAAGGATGGAGACATAACCCTGAGCAATACAGGGCTGAGAGAGAGGGAGGATTTACTATCAGTTGTAAATGGGGATGGGAGAACTGGCCTAGAGTGATGAGCTGGGCTAGCAGGGCACAATTGCACCCGGGTTTTGCTGCTCTTTATTCTCTGTAAAAAAATCAAAGCATGCAGGCATCTCTGAAAGTGCCACTGTCAGTACTCACTGGTCAAAGCCTGTGCTCCCAGGAGGCATTCCCTTCCAAAAGGGTGGAAGGTACAGGGAATGACTTCTGGAAAACCCAGGCTCTTGGGACAAAAATTACACTGCCCCTAAAAGAGAGAGAACTAGAAACAAACAGCTATGTTAGAAATAAAATTTACTCAAAGTCTTTCTTTTCACTCTAGAAATTCCTATTTTACAGGCAGACCAAGATCCTCATGATGTGGTTGAAGTGCTGAATCTGGCAGCAGTGTTAATCAAGAGCAAGGTCATGCAACTCATTCAAATATCCAGCCATGATTCTCTAGTGCCCACTTGATATTAGATTTTATATCAACTCACCTGCAGAAATATATGAAATTTGTGCAAAAAAAAATCCATCTTTTTAGCTCTCTTCATTTACAGGCATTATTATTTCAACAGAATATAATTAGCAAAAGTGCTTCTTGTATTTTTTGGGAACATAATAGTTCCAGTTACTTAGACAGAAAAAAAATTAGAATAAAACTAGCTAGCTAAAGAATTGTCTGTTAAAACCACAGACATCAATTAAACTCATTGTTGATTTGAGGCTCAGTAAATCCAAAAGAATAGATCCTCAGGACAAAAGCTCTCAGTATGAAAATCACTGTAACATCTGTGAGGTCTCACAACACCACTGCGCCTTTATGAAGCCAAATATCCAAATTAAAAGGCTTAACTTTGGCACTGAGAAAGATCACACTTTATTTTGGGGCCATCTCCAGAGGTCTATTAACCTTTCAAGACACTGTGAATAAACACTCATACACAAGCGACAAAAACTAAGAGGACCCTGAACTACTCCTCCATAGGTAAGGTTACTTATTGGAGAAAAGCAAGTTGAGACACATGTGTGTGAAACTGGTTGTGTAACTGAGTCCTTTTCTGAGGAGACATTTAAAGGGGATCCATAAATCTGCGCTTCAGTAATGTTATCACAGCCTCCCGTTTGCAAAGGCGTGAATTCAAACTCTGAAAATTGGGAAAAATACTTGTACTCTGTGTACACCCAGCACCTCTCCCACCCTCGTGACAAGCAAAGCTGGATCAGCACGTGAACAGCCCCCAAAGTCATCCTATCGCTCTGGATTGGTTAAAAATTACATCCTCTGTATTGACCCCAGCTCCAGGGGAGTTAATGCTTTCAGCACAGCCTCCGCTGTGGCACAATGTTTGCATTGTAACATTTCAGAGAGAAATGCCATTGTAAATTGAAAGTGTAAACCCTGGAGTGGAGAGAGCGGCTCTGTAGGAGCAGGAGCACATTCCCTCCTGGTGCCTTCCCTGCAGTCTCCATCCTGGCACAGACCAAGGGCACAGGGGGATGCCCAGCTCTGGATCATGGACATGCCTGCATGGATCAAAGTCTACCCCACACAGCTGGCCTTGGGAAGGAATTTATTTTGCATTTATAAACAACCAGAAAATTCCTTCAATGCAGTAGTGGAATCTTTATTACTACTTTTAATCCTTTGTAGTACTGCATGACAGAAGACTCTTTGAGGTTGTATAGGCTATTTCATGTCTGTTTACAAAATGAAGAGACTAAGTGTCAGAGGATATACGATCAAAACACATGGTACCTACAAACAGTAGACTGGAGTGAAATACCATGTGTGTGCATGTAGAACCCACTGACACCACCAGGGCAGCATCTTTATGACTTTTCTCCTCCCATGCTATAGGAATTTGCATGGCTGATGAGGATATCTTCACACAAAGCAATCTGAAAAGCTGATTTCAATCAGTGGCGTAATCAAAGCCTCAGTATTGCAAAATAATATGATTAAACACTCCATTATTTCAAACGCCACAGCACTAAGCAGATCCTTGGAGGGGAGTGCTTTTGTGCACTAATCCATGCATGTAATTATCGATATGCTTTCCCATGCCCTATTCAAATGCTCTCCCCTGAGGCTTTTCTTCCACTTACACTAGGGGAGAAAAAAAAAAAAGAAAAAAAAAAGCCAATCAGTTCAGTTTAAAGAACAAGTTGTATAACTCTTTTTGATCTACTGCCTGAAGGATCAAGTAAGAAATTCTACCAGCTGTAACCTCAGAAGCAAAGGATAGGGCTCGGCTTGTCGCGGTGGCCAGCAGCACGGGCAGGACACGGCTGTGCCCTGTGCTGGGACACGCTGCCACAGCACCTGGGGTGACAACACCCTCAGGTCTCAGCACTCCACGAGACTGCAAGGGAAAGGCTACCAACAGATGCTTTCATACGAGGCAGAATGTCTTTAATGAAACTGAGGGATGTAAAAATGAAAAGCAATTAAAGGATAAGCAATTTGCTCTGTAAGAGATTAGAAAGATGCAAAGCAATGCCCACACTGGGTTTTCAGCACGTGTATTGACTTGTCTCTGCTGAGAGCACCACCAGGCTGGCAACAGCGCTGCCATGTTTAAATGGATTTGATCCTACCAGCCTCCTTCTAGATCCAGAAGACAAAAATCACCAGATGTGGTCAAAAGGAAGAAAGGCAGTGCATTAAAAACAGGAAAGAGAGGTTCCAGTGGAAGCACAGCCCCTGTGCTCACAGCCAGGGTCCCACAGCTGCAGCTGGGCAAGGGCATGGTGCTGGGCACAAAGGGGAATGGCTAAAGCCAGCCTCAGTCCCCACTCAATGCAGTTTATATTAGACAGTGGAAAAGAAGCAGATTGCTGTTTGCTGGTGATTTTAATAGACTAATAGAATCAACAGGCAGAGTGCCTTGGTTGCTGCTTGCACGCAGGCAGCAGCTCTCAGGAACTGGGGGACACGGATCCTGGCACCTGTGTATTTCCTAGTAGCCAATAAGATAACAGAATGACACATTTCTTCTGCCTCAAGTTAAAAATACAAAGGAAATTTCAAACATTTAGAAGCTAACTTTATTCGCTTTGATCTTTAAAAATATAACACCATCTGTAGCCGTCAGATTTACAGTACAGATCTCAGATATGTACATTATTTGTTGGTATAAAAAGCTGTCAGCAGCCCCAGTGCAAAAGTGAGGATCCTCTGGCAGTCTCCTGAGTTTCAGAGAGAACTACTAACCTGAAAAACTTAACCAACAGGTTATTCAAGAGCAACAAAACAAAAAAAAACAAACCACCACTTCCCTTGCCACAAACCCCACAAAACTAAATCCCTACAACCTGCTAACACTGCAAAGTGTACATATTTGCAGGTAATATTGGGGGAAACTTATCCCAAAACTTCCTGAACCTCAAAAGCCACCTAATTGTGATCCCCATAGACCTGTTCCCTTGGCACTTCTGATTTCTGCATGTCAGTGGTTCCAACATGGTGAATTACGTACAGGTTATACAAAGCGTGGGGTATAGAAGGATTTAGTTTCAAGTATCAGCATTTTTCAAGCTATGCAGGTTCCACAACTACAGCTAAAAGCAAATATGCCAAAAAAAATTACATTTTCCTGTCAGCAGAGTCTCAAAAATTAGTGTGGGCTGGCTGAAAATTTGTAGAATAAACAAAACACAACACACATGCCTTTTATAAACTTATTATGCAGGATGAGTTTGGGTAATATGCAAAACCAAGTAAAACATTCAAATTATTTTCTGGATATGCATTAGCTATTCCAAATCTAACCCCAGTTTTAAGGAGGTGCCAGTCCTGAGGGGCCAGGCTAGGACACAGGCCAGGGGAAAGATTGGCAGGAGCAGTGAAAAGTCAGAACCCTTATAATGTCAGACCATTAACAGCTTTAAAACCAAAAGGCCTTGACCTTTTAAAAAAATATATTCACTCTGCTAAAGAACTCTCTCCTTGCTTTTCTTAAGTCAAATAAGAAACTTTGGAAATACATTCTTACCTGTATGATGCTAACAATGACTTTTTCCACTTTTTTCACATTTGTAGTATTTAGCTTTTTGTGTCTTGGAAATTAATAAAATAGGAGAGGACATAATTTTGCTTTTTGCCTGTGATACACTCTGTCCTGCTGGTATTCCTTGATTGAAAGACTGCACATAAATCTGGCTTTGCTTTAAGAAATTAAGGTCTACTAGACATTAAAAAATCCAATTAGTACTACAAAAATTAAGGCAGACCATTTCCTCAGTCTCATTTACACTACTACAGACTTTTTTCCTTTCTGTCAAGGGTGAAGGACACAGCTGAATGATGGGATTTTTTCCATCTCATTTATATATTGATGTAATAAGGGCAGACAGGTAGGCCTATGCAAGTGCTGATTCTGTCAGCAGCCCAAGTTGCCAGGACTGTGAATATTGTCACTTATAGATTGATAAATGGACTACATGGACTAATTGTATTCCAGCGTCTCTGGACAGATGGCAGATCTTACAGCCATATGGTGATTATTTCCACCGAGCTGAAAGTATATTAACACTTACCAAATGTTTAAAACGAGGAGATGATCTAAAATAATTTTTCTGTGAACAAAGACAAGACCAATGGGTTCAGCTGGGCGGGCAGGCTGGGGCTGGGCTCTCTCCCAGGATTCCGGCTCGGCGCAGGCTCCAGGGCCCGCGGGGATCGCGGTTATTGATGGAGCCGGCTGCGTGCTGGGCCCTCAGCTGGAGCTCAGGGCTTTGTGAGCACAGGGCACAGCCTGCCTTGTTTCAGCTCTTCTGCATGGCCCCTGCTTCGTGCCACTCTCTGCTGGCTGCCCTAGGAGCTGCCGGCACTGAGACAGGCACTGCCTTTTCCTCCTATTTCTCATTCCTTATCTTCTCCTCTCTCTGGTTGAAAAGATACTGAAGTTATTGTCCTACTTTTAAAGGTAGCTGTATACCCAACCCTTCCTGCTGGAAATCCAGTGGAGGACTGCCCAAACCTTGAACACAGGATCTCTGGAGTAGGACTGACTCAGCACTGTGCACCTGCAGCCCAAAAAGCCAACCGTATTCTGGGCTACATCCCAAGAACAGGTCAAGGGAGGTGATTCTCCCCCTCTGACCTGCTCTCGTGAGACCCACCTGGATTACTGCATCCAGGTCTGTGTCCCCCAGCGTAAGAAGGACACAAAGCTGCTGGAGTGAGTCCAGAGGAGGACACACGGATGATTAGAGAGATGGAGCACTTCTCATCTAGAGACTGGCTGGGAGAGTTGGATTTTCAGCCTTCCAGTGCTAAAGGGGCTACAGAAGAGCTAGAGAAGGATTTTTTACAAGGACATGTAGTGAAAGAACAAGGGGGAACAGCTTTAAACTGAAAGAGGCCAAGTTTAGATTAGATAGGAAAAAATTATTCCCTGTGAGGTTGGTGAGGCATTGGCACAGATTGCCCAGAGAGGTTGTGGCTGCTCCATCCCTGAAAATGTTCAAGGCTAGGTTGGATGAGGCTTTGAGAAACCTTGTCTAGTGGAACCTGTCCCTGCCCATGACAGAGAGGTTAGAACTCAATGCTTTTTAAAGTGCCTTCCAACCCAAACCATTCTATGACTACACATGCACTAAATGCATTTTGCTACCTCCGTGCCTCCTCCCAAAACAGAAATCAACTGGGAGGGGACAGAACTACGCCCCAGCAATCCTGTGAAACAGATCAAACCAGCTGAACAGTGACCAGAGGCTCACCCTGCTCACTGCCAAGGCTGTAACCATTGCAGAGCTCGGCAGCGAGCGCGTGGCTCCGCGCTCCCCAACCGCGCCTGGAGCACACGCGGCTGACACAGCCCGTCCTGAGACTGACACAGCACCCAATCCACCCTCCAGAGCAACGGGAGAACACACACAGGAGACCTGCTCCTCCTCTGCTCTGAGCTACTGCTCATTTATACCAAACTAATGTGTGCAAAAGCAGCTCAGATTCTCCACAGAAGTTTACACTAGAATAATAAACCCAATAATATCACACAAGTTAAATGATTTTTTTGCTTTGCTTTCAAAACAAAATTCTGAACATTTGTTTGTTTTAAAATAGGATTGAAAATAATGTTTTGTGTTGTGCAGTAATTTGTTTTGCATGCACTTTCATGATAGGAAAGTCCTTGCTAGTGGAAATAACCATCTTACTTGCTGGGGGTGAAAAAAGTTCAAGTATCAGTTTTCCCTATTTGCCTAAGTAAAATAACAGCAAGTCAAGAGCTGGAAACTGCACTCTTCATGGTCTCTGTGATCTAAAATTAATGCCTGGTGCTGGTATGCAGAATGGATCAAGTACTTGCTCAGCCACTGAGGACAAGGTGCCAACTGGTGAGAAATTCTTACTATGCTTTTCACACATTCACACTTTAGCACCCAAAGTATTAAACCGATTTCACTTTTAAGGCCTCTTTTGCAGCTCTCCCTAAATACAGGTGTTTTAAGGAAGCCTTTACTACCCCTGAAAGGCAGAAAAAGAACAGATCAGTTGCCCATTTCTCCCTAGACAGCACAGACTAGCCCTGTGTTTTTCCATGTGCCTCCCAGCCAACACTGACCCGGGTCTGGAGCTGCTGCCACCCTGGGCTCCGGCCAGGCTGTCCCCCCAGGCAGCAGCAGCAGCTCCAACATCACTACATGGGAAGGAGAAGGGTCAAAAAGGAGATGGAAAAAGAAAAGGAAGAGGGGAAAAGTAACTTAACTCCAAGGTGCAAAGTCTGGACCACCTAACTCCTGGAAATCATCTGTTCTTTTATGGAATAACAGACATCACTGAGCTGTCCCAAATCATTCCCAGCGGTTGCGTGTCTATTTTATCTTCTGGCCAATAATTCAGAGGTCATCCTTCAAAGCAGCTGATGAGCATAAGCTCTTTCCAGTACAACCTCATGTCACTTGTGCTAATTTAGCAGTTACTGGGAAGGGTGTTGGAGATCACTGCAATATTACTTTGGTATTTCACAAGAGAAGCCATACAGAGTTGCACAATATTGCTCTCCTTCCAAAGGACAAGGATGCAAATTCATAAGGCAGGGAGGAAAGACCAAGCAGGGAATGCAAAGTGGTATAGATATTTTGATTCCTTTCCAAACTCTAAGCTTAAAATATAAAAAACTTTGGCAACTTCTCCCCCATAGAATTTGAAATGCTAATTTCTAACTCAATTGAAAAGTTCTTGCAAAGATCTGAACAATACACATGCAGGATTATTTCTCTGAGGCTGAAAAATTCAGAACAGACCTTCCCTGTAGAGGGAAAAGCAAGTAACCACAACCACAGGAGAGGTGTTTAACCCAGGCTTAGGTCCAGCTAATGAAGGAAGTTGTCCCCACAGCCCTCTCCAAAACCACAGGCTTTGCAGAAAAGTCTGGGGAGGAAAAACAGGGCAAGAGAGATTGCTGGGAGCATCAGGCTGCACACTACCATGTCCTTGAAAGCTGATGCATCTCCCATAATGTGCAATTTTGAAGGTTTCAGAAAACACATGCTCAGAACCTTCTGTCTGGGGAAAGTCTTGGAGGATTACACGGAAACTTTAAAGACATCATTTGTCCTTCAGAGCTCTCAAAAGACAAAGTGGAATTTCACACTGTGCACAAATACTCATTTCCCTGCTCCAAAGCACACAGGAAGGTGAAAGAGGCACAGAGGGGAA